GCCCTGCGGAAGTCCAGGGTTCTGGTCTTGCTAGGTACCCTATTCCTCCCACACAGGATCCTGAACTCCACCATCTCGTGATCACTGCAGCCAAGACTGCCACTGACCATCACTGCTTCAACAAGGCCCTCCTTGTTGGTGAGTAGAAGATCCAGCAGCGCTCCTCTTCTAGTCAGCTTGTCCACCATTTGCATTAAGAAGTTATCATCAATGCACTGGAGGAACCTCCTAGACTGCGAATGGCTGGCTGTGTACGCCTTCCAGCAGATACTGGAGTAGTTAAAATCCCCCATGAGGACCAAGGACTGTAGTTGCGAGGCTGCTTTCAGCTGCCTGTAGAAAGCCTCATCAACTTCCTCGTCTTGATCAGGAGGTCTGTAGTAGACCCCCACAACTGTATCACACATGCCAGACTGTCCCTTAATTTGTACCCACAGACTTTCAACTTGCTCCTCATCAGCCCCTGCACAAAACTCAATACATTCTAGTTGCTCTCTCACATAAAGAGGAACTCCACCACCTCGCTTCCCCGACCGATCTTTCCTAAAAAGGACATAGCCATCCATGGCCACATTCCAGTCATGTGACCTGTCCCACCATGTCTCAGTTATTGCTACCAGATCATAACCCTTAGACCGCACACAGACCTCTAACTCTTCCTGTTTATTCCCCATGCTGCATGCATTGGTGTGCAGGCATTTCAGGAAGTGAGCAGAGCACACTGGTGGGACCCTTGGGAGGCAGGAGGCCTTCTGGTCAGGGTCTAAACATCTATCCTTTCCCTTCAGTGAAACAGCAGATTGAAAATCCTTCCTAGTCCACCATCCTTCAGGCCCTGGCATGTTGCTCTTGGGCTTGTCCCTAGCAGACCCATTTATCTCCCCTTCCCCCTTCACATCTAGTTTAAAGCCCTCTCATTGAGCCCTGCTAAGTCCTGCCCCAAAAGCCTTTCCCCCCTCTGGGACAGGTGCATCCTACCTGCCACCATCAGGCCAGGTGTCTCCTATAGCAGCCCATGATCGAAAAACCCAAAGCCCTGCCTTTGGCACCAGTCACGTAGCCATTAATTGATCTGAATGTCCGAGGTCCACTGTCCATGTTAGTTTCGCATTGCATTCTCTTGTTTGCATATAGGCCTTAGCCAATTGGAGTTCTGTATCCATGGGTCCAGAGCCAGAGCAGGGACTGCCAGGTGTAGTTTGCAACTTTGTATCATTTTTCCCACCTTTGTCTCTTAAATGCATAGGCTCTTTTATATCAGAAAGGGATTTTAATGTTTACAATAAATACTTATTAAGTAAACTTTTAAGCAAAGCTGGATTTTTCAGTGCTTAGGAACTTTAGCTTTCTCAGCAGCTGTTGATGCCGATTTTGTGCTTTTAGAATTCCCTCCTCAAATGCACACACTCAAAAACTCTGAAGTACCCAGTTCTCCTGCCTTAACAAAAAAAATTAGAAATAATTTTTATAGAAACAGCAAAGCCCTTGCCCAACACGTGCCCGTGTGTAATGCGCACACCCACACTCACACAGTGCATGTCACTGTTTCACCTGGTGGGGGCAGGAAGGGAGAGAAGAATGTAAACCTGAAGAAATGGAGAAATGAGGAGGACATTTAGGGTAGGTGTACATTAGCTTGTCTCTGTGGCAGAAAGAATGGCAATGACATTTCTTCCAGCTTCTGAATTGATAAAAGGCTGTAAGTAGACAAACGGACAAGATTGGAGTTGATGCTTATTTTTGTTTTTATTAACTCTTTCTTCATGACTGTGTATGGTGTTTTGTTTGGTGGTTTGTTTTGGGGGGTGTTTTTGGGGGTTGTTTATTTTGTTGGTGTGGTTTTTTTCCTTCAGTATAAGCATGCTTATTTGTCATATCCCTAAGCAAGACACTGCTTAGTTAGCATTTTGTCCAAACTTTAAATGTACACTGAAACTCCTCAAAAAGATTCTCATGGTCTCTGTCTCTATGCATATATCTGGGTAGGTCAGAGATCAGAGAAATGCTGACATGAGCAAAATATTTTAGGTTAATAGTCAGCTATATGAATTTGACAGCTCATTCTGCAATGGGGGTAAGGAGAATCACTGTAATAATACATCTTAAACTTTGCCTGACTCTTGGCTTTTTTGCTTGTACTTTTTAGGTGAAACATGGAATCCATTGAAGTTGCACTATCAATTGCGAAATGTCCGTGAACGGTTAGCTAAAAATCTAGTGGAGAAAGGTGTACTGACAACAGAGAAACAGAACTTCCTTCTTTTTGACATGACTACGCACCCTCTCACCAACAACAATATCAAACAGCGCCTCATCAAGAAGGTTCAAGAAGCAGTTCTTGACAAATGGGTGAACGATCCTCACCGCATGGACAAGCGCTTGCTGGCACTGGTTTATTTAGCCCATGCTTCAGATGTTCTGGAGAACGCTTTTGCCCCCCTTTTGGATGAGCAGTATGATTTAGCCACAAAGAGAGTGCGGCAACTTCTGGATTTAGACCCTGAGGTTGAATGTATGAAAGCCAACACGAATGAGGTTCTTTGGGCCGTTGTTGCAGCTTTCACAAAATAAATGCATTCAGACTGAAGTGTTCTCTCTTCTTTAATGTAAACCAGTAGTTTCTCCTCTATTGACTATTCATGTTTTCTGTAATTTGTACCTTCTCACATGACAAATCAGTTCTTGTTTAATGGGAATTATAAGTGGTGTCTTCCCTCCTTCTATGTGTATCTGTATACAGGATTCTTCTGGTACAAGAGACCTTCCTGTTTAAAAACAATAGAAAAAGGTTTTACTGCCATATTTACATTCTTATTTCCTATTCAGTTTGAGTTATCTGAAAAAAATTGTTTAATCTGTTTTTGATCTTACAGTTTTTGAAGTGGTTTAACATGGAAAGTACTTTGAGGAAATGTGCTTGCAGTTGGATCACTAATCTCAGTTGACACAGATGTGTGCATGCATCAATACTTCTGCAGTACAATTCATAACAGATAAAAAAGGGCCTTTTAAAATTACTAAAGCTCCACGTTGAAGTGTCCATCAGGATATTTTATACACAGATGTTGTTTCAATTATATCTAACAAAATTAATTAAAAGCAGAAATGCCATTAAACAGCTTTGTCAATAGTTCCTGTAAAATGCCCCATAAATTTTACTTTTCATGCAAGTCTCTTGTGTATGTATGTTTTCATTAGAATGGTAGCTGAGTCATAAGGCTAGTGTAGAAAGGTCCAATTGTTTAATAAACCAGTTTTGGGATGGGATACATTCCATTATATTGTATATATACTTCAAATTGTATATTAACAACTGCCCCATCAGTATTTTACAAGATCTACTTAGCTGTACACCTGATGCCCCTTATTTGCTATCAGCTATTGCCATTTGATGGAAAGAAAGGCCTCCTATAAAGAGCCATGTATGTGAAAGCTATTTGTTTCCATTGTCTACAGTTTGCCATCCAGGTATTCTCAGTCTATGCATTGCCTTTGATAATTAGTATATAGAAAGAGACCACTTTCTATCATAATTTGTACATTTTTTTCCTTTTTTTCCCCACCTCTCCTGTATGGAAGAGGCTTGTGACCAGTACAGTTCTTGAGTGCAATTTTAAATTTTGTTTGTAAACAAATTAATGTTTGTCTCTTAAGCCTCGGAATCTATTTTACAATTTAAAAACAAAAAGTCAGTCCTGGCAGGTGTTGCATGTGAACTATTAGCAAGTAATGACTGCAGTTCAGATTATTAAAATTTCTGTAATGGGATGTTCTGCTATATTTTAATTGTTATATACAGTTATGCTGATTAGCACACTGTTTAAAAAAAAATAGAAAACTTTGGCTTAAAAAAATTTATTTCCTCTTTGTCACTGCTTGTTATTTCCCATTGTTTTATAGTGTAAATATTATGTATTGAACAAATTAAGTCTTGATTTATATTTTTTTTTCCTTATAACAATTAAGATTTATAGTGGGGCTTACAGGTGTTTAGGAACTTTTTTTGGTTAATATTCAGAGCAAGAATACTAGATGGTATATAACTGTAGAGTTGAAATTTAAGGGATCCCTTAATCTGTATACTAGTTTTTTAGCTACAGTAAATAAACTATAAAGTGCCTGAAACAGAGCAAGCATGTAACTTGTTGGAGGTTTTTTGTTGCTAATTAGAAAGGTTTTATTGCTTAACTGAAAGCTTTAGTTAACATCCTTATCAGAAAGGGAGAGTAGATCAAACTGACCTAATCAGCAGTGTCACTCAGATCTGCAGGATTCATGGCTGAGACAGACTGCATTAGATTATGATTATGCAGCTGTCCCTGCCATGGGTATACCTCTTCTATCTTGAGCACAACTCTACAGCCTCATCTGTGACTTAATTTTAAATAATTTAGATGCTTATGTTAAAATACAACTTAAATTCATCATACCTATATGACCTTTTTTAAATAAAGGTTTTTAAAATACAGTCCTTAACATTTAGTGGCACACTGTTCTTTCAGTTCTTAAATTATGTTTCTTTAGAAAAAATAAAAGTATATTGTAAAGTATTTCAAAATTTGGTTTACAAATAAAAGTGTAAACAGTGTTCTCCCAGCTGTAAGATGTTGTGTTTAAAATTTTGAGGAGCTTGGGTGTGAGCTTTGGACATTTTCTTTTAAACATTTTCAAAACGTTATTTCTTATAAGTGGAGGAAAAATGAAAGTTGCTGTGTTGCTCTTATATTTGATAGCTTACAGAATACTTTCTGTACTTGATAGTATATGATAACTCGCTGCTTTCATTGTCTCTCCTGTGAACTGTTTTCTCATTTTCTGTTGCTCTCTGAGAGGAGAGAAAAATAATTAGGTGGAAAAGTCAGAAAAAATAGTGCAGTATTCAGGAGCAAGTTGAGTGCACAATAAAATGGCTTTGAAAATCTAAACTACTTGAAATGTGCTTCAGACTGGAAATATTTTTCATACTCCCTTTTCTGTCCTCTCATCTTCATTCTGTCAGTATTTTTCATGTTCCTCTAGTTTCATGTTACATTGTGGAGGATATTGGGGTTTTTTCACTCTTACAGCCAACATGGTTAAAAAAAAGAGTCACCCTTCTTTAATCCCGTCCAGTAAGAGGGTTTGTTGTTTTGGTTTTGGGTTGTTTGTTTGTGGTTTTTTTCCATGTAGGAGATAACTACCTACAGTATTTATCAGCTTTATTTCGCTTAAAGATAGAACCTCTGTGATGGGGAGAATTTTTATTGGATGTATCCAAGTAACAAAGGGTTTGTGAAGCCTGACACTATCTTTCGCTAGACCACCTAGCATAAGCCTGAATGTGCAGGGGAAATAGATGAACTTTTGGAGTCTTGAGTCCTATGTTGTGCTTTAAAAAACCCAAAGTCTCATGAGTGCTATCAGACCTTATATCTAACAATGAAGGTAAGTTTAGTAGGTTAACGGGGACTGATTTAGCAAACATCCTTGCCTTAGTTGCTATTTCACGTTCTAATAAAATGATTAAACATGGGAGACTCATTTGTTCTGCTGTGATTGAGGTACCCTTCTTCCTGAGTGCTTGTGTTCATTCCCATTCCTCGTACAAAGTGAAGAAATGTTTTAACTAATGTGTTCTCTGTGAACTGGACTGAATCTGTATTGAAACAAAATAAAGCACCCTTTCAAGCTATGAGCTGCAAATGGTTACTGTATATCACATGCATGCAACACTTAAAGGATTTTTTTTTTCATTTTCAAAGTAATTTCCAGTTTTTCCTGAGGCTCTGGTCTTCACCACTTTGGGAAAGAGAACTTTAAGAACAAAGCCTCAGATCTGCCTAAACGTCTTCAGGTACTTTGTGTAGTCAAAGCCTGTTACATCGTAGTTTCCCCTATTGTGTCCATCTATATTTTCTTTATGAAAGGAGGTTTCCAGATTCAGAGAAGTAAAAATTTCTTGAAAAAGTAACTAATTAGCATCTCATTTCTGTCAAGTGCTTTGTAAGTGTCAAGTATAAAATATTTCAGGTGTGTGTAAGAGGTGGTCTTCTTGGGTAGGAAGGGAGTATCTTTGGATGGGGAAGAAGCATGGTCAGAACTACTGCCTGTGTTAATCTCCAAATAAGTTTCCTCCCATTGAGTCTTGTTGCAGAAAAGAATAGGGAAAGAAATACTGATGAGCAGTAGCCTTTGGCTTTCTCCCCTCTACCTTTCTGTACTTCCAAATAATTTGCTGTTATGCTTTCTTCTCTCTTTACTTTGGTCTCTAGTCTTCTCTTTCTTCTCATTTCCCTGTTGCTTGGTGAATTCCTCTTTCGTGCTCATGAACAATTTGTACTGATTTCCAACCTTAGATGTTTCCACTCTTGCCTTCTTATTACTAACCTTTTTATTTTGCTTTCAGTTTTACAAACAACTCAAGCCCAAGTCTCCTTTACCCTGTCCTCGGTGTTGCTTTCCCCTCTGCTCTGATTCTCTGCTGATGCTTCAAGGAACCTCTCTTTCTTTAACAAATAAATTTGTCAATATTAGCTGCCTCAGTGGCTGTGCTGAAGCAGCTGGCCATCTGCTACAGCTTATAACACGATTTACAAGGTGAACAAAAACTTATGTTAATTTACCTTAAAACTTCTCTTTGCTTGCTTCAAAAGCAAGCAGTTGTCCATGCAGCAGGGAGGACTTATAGCTGAGGATTGTGATTTTGTCAATTCTCTAATGTGAGTAGATCTTGTTCCCAAGTCAGTGCTCTAAGGATTTGCTGTCTCTTACTCAAGCTTTTCTTACAGTGAGAGCATAGATACAAGAGTAATTTTTTATTTTGGGCTCTCTGCTTGTTAAAGAAAAGAACTGAGTTTGTGTTGCAGCTCCAAAAAGCATCTGCTCTATTTGGCCATTTATATTTATGGAAGTTGGAGACACTTAAATTGTTTGGAAGTGTTAGAAATGAAATTAAATGCAGTATTGTTTTTGCATCCTAGTGTTAGAAGCATATTGTTGTGTTGTTTTTTTTATATATATACCCTAGTGTTTGTTTAAGAGAAGTGAGATATCTGCACATTCAAATGACACCTGGAGTGGTTTACAGTCCAAGAAACTGAGGGACTTAATTAGGCTCCATCTGGGGGATCTGAACATGGAGTAGGATTTATGGCCAAGATAAGGCTGAACAAAGCCACTTCTATCTTGCTCCTCGGGGAAGGATGACACCAATAGGTATAGATCATTTTGTTAACTGGGAAGACAGCCAAGGGGGCAAGAAAGGTCAAAATTATACCTTAAAAGGTAAAAAGTAAACTGCTAGAATGGAATGTGTAAACAGGGGCGGGAAACTTATAGGATAATTAGAAGCGTTGGATAGGCTGTAAACCCTGGAGTACCCAGCCAGTGGGGAAACAGGGGAGGGAACTGTCCTGGTTTGAGCCAGGATGAAGCCAATTTTTCTTTTTACTGATTTTTTTTTCCTTCAGTAAGCTTTCTTGTAACTAGAAACAGTGTGTTCTGCTAGGCTGATAAGACAGTGGAATGTTTTTCTAACTACTGAGGCTTCAAGGCTGCACCTGCACTCTGCCGGCTCAGACACTATGGGGAGATCTGTGACCCCTCCCGTAGGAGGCTGAGTTAGACAGACAGCAAAATTGGCCAAAGATATTCCATTCCATATATCTACGTAAGCTCAAAGGAAGGTCAGAAATCACAGAAGACAACTTCCTTCCTTCTTCT